AGAGGGAGCCCTTGCCCAGACCCCGTCTGGAGCAAAACCTGTGGCACCTCCTGGTTCTGCCTGGTGGCGAATAAATCCACTTGGGGAGTTCCTCACCTCAGGAAGATCATGCCGGCTACCTCTGGGTGGAGCACCCACTCATGGTGAGAGGAGAAGTCCCTGCGTAGCTGATCTGTTAGCGTGTTCCTGGCACCCGGAGGGTGACACGCTTCTAGATGGATTCCATGGTTGATGCAGAAGTCCCAGAGACGAGTGCCTCTTGGCAAAGGGCCAAGGATCGTGCTCTGCCTTGTCTGTTGATGTAGAACATCGAGGCTGTGCTGTCCGTGAGGACTCTGACCACTCTGCTCGACAGGTGAGGTAGGAAGCCCACACATGCTCTGCACACCGCCCTGAGCTCTTTGCTGTTTATGTGTAGCATCGACTCCTCTGGGGACCACATACATTGGGTCTGGAGGGTGCTGAGGTGCATCCCCCATCTGAGGTCTGAGGCATTTGAAACCAACTCAACTGAGTGAGGAGTGCTGACAAAGGGAACTCTTTCCAGGACTTTCCCAAGGTCGGTCCACCATCGCAGCAAGATAAGTACCGTTGCGGGAATGGTGATGACCTTTTCCAGGTAGTCCCTGGACTGGGAGTAGACAGTCGCTAGCCATTGCTACAGGGGTCACATCCAGAGTCTGGCGTGGCGCATCACATACATACACGCTACTGTGTGACCTACTATGCGTAGGCAAACCCTGGCCATGGTCAGGGGAAACACGGAGACTTCCACAATGAGGTCTGTCAGTGCCCTGAACCTCTCCAGCAGCAGGAACGCCCTGACGCAGGTTGAGTCGAGCACCGCTCTGATGAACTCTATCCTCTGTACTGGAACGAACGTGGATTTTTTGTCGTTCACCAACAGGCCGAGGTGACGGCACGTGCCTAGCAGCACTGCGATGTCCCCTTGGACCTGGAGTTCTCCTTGACGAGCCAGTCGTTGAGGTACAGATAGATCCTGGATACCCCGACATCTGAGGTAAGCCACCATCACAGACGTGCACTTGGCCAAATGGGAGGACTGTGAACTGATAGTGGTCAGGACCTACTGTGAACCAGAGGAAGCGTCTGTGTCCCTCGAAGATGGCGATGTGGAAGTATGCATCTTTCAGATCAAGGGCGGCATACCAGTCGCCCGGATCTAAGGTGGGGATGATGGAAGCCAGGGATACCATGCAGAACTTCAGTTTCGCTAAGTAGCGGTTCAAGCTCCGCAGGTCTAGTATGGGCTGCAGACAGCCCTTGGCTTTGAGGATTAAAAAAGTATTGAGAATAGAACCCCTTGTTCCCACAGTGCCAAATAAGCACCCCGACTTTCACAATAAGCCGATCAGGCTAATCCCTTTCAAAACAAGGCCAAAAGAAGCCAATCCCCAAGAACCCCAAAACTCTATGTGACTAGATCCTCTCACAGCGTGCAGTCTGGGACTGTGGTGGGTCTGCTGTGCACAGTGACTCTCTCCCCCACCCTTGCCTCTGCTTGCCCTGAGCCGATTAAAAAAAAAAAAAAAGGGCAACAAGCTACAAGGCAAAAACTAGCCAACAAGCAACCCACAAGCCAATTTCGCCAAAAACAAGCCTAATTTCTGCGTTTTTTCCACAGGTTTGGCATATCTGCTTGTTCCTGTACTCCACAGGAACTACCTCCACCGTGCCCAGCTGTAGTAGAAGATTCTGTATGAGAAGATTCTCATGAGAGGAGTCCCTGAAGAGGAACGGGGAGGGAGGGTGGGTAGAAGGAACTGAAGACAGTAACCCTGCACCACCGTATTGAGGACCCATCGGTCTGATGTTATAGACACCCACGTAGGGAGGAAGGAAGAAAGGTGGTTGGCAAACAGAGGGGAGGAAGGATCTGGGGAACAGTCCGGTAGGTCACCCTCTGGCATACCCTCAAAACGAGCGCTAGCCTGTCTGCTTACAGCGTGTTGAGCCCGTCTGGGATGTAGACGGGGGTTGGCGGCCAGGGTGCTTCTTGTAGCCCCTGGATCTTTTGTGGGGAGGCTCCTGGCGAGGGTGGTTCCCCTAGCTCTGAGGCTGCTACAGCTTAAACCGCTTGCAGGCAGGGCCGGGGACGTACAGGCCCAGTGTTTTCAGGCTCGTGAGGGAATCTTTCAGGCCACGAAGCTTAATGTCCATCTGTTCTGCAAACAGGGCGTGCACATCGAAAGGGAGGCCTTACATTGACTGCTGAGCCTCCGAGGAAAGACCAGAGAGGAGCAGCCACCTACGCAACAAGATGGCCGATGCCCTGGTACAGGCAGCGGTGTCTGCCATGTCCAATGCCACCTGGAGAGCTGCTCTGGCTGCAGTTGAACCCTCATCCAGGATCGCTTGGAACACCTTCCTACAAGCCTCAGGAAGGGCGCTCTTGAGCTTGGTTATGGCCTGTCACATATTAAAATCATAGAGGCCTAGTAAGGCCTGATGGTTGGCCACCCGCAACTGTAGACTGGACGAATAAACTTTACGCCCAAACAAGTCCAGTCTCCTTGAGTCTTTATTCTTAGGGGTAGCCCCCGGTTGACCCTGTCTCTCCCTATGGTTGACCGCCTCTACCACTAGGGAATTGGGAGCTGGGTGGGTATAAAGGTACTCGTGGCCCTTAGAAAGCACAAAGTACTTGCGCTCCACCCTCTTGGAGATCAGAGGCAAGGAGGAGGAGATTTGCCAGAGGGCATTTGTAATTTTGGTGACCACCTCATGTAGGGGAAAAGCTACCCTAGCTGGGGCCACAGGGCAGAGAACATTAAGGAGGGAATCTGAGAGTTCCTCTAACTCCTCCACCTGGAGGCCCAAGTTGGCAGCAACCCTCTTTAACAGCTCCTGATGCGCCTTAGGATCATCCTGGGGCACTGGTGGAGGGAGCCCCACTATGGCCTTGTCTGGTGATGAGGAGGAGGAAGCCGGTTCCAAGGGGTCCTCCGCAACCATAGGCGGTCCAGTGGCTTGCTCGCCCACTTCCTCCTGTGCCTGCGGGGTGCCTGCAGTCGAGGCCTCTTGGGCTGGAGTGGGGGAGGTAGCCAGTCTCTCTGAAGCTCTGGACACTGAGCAGGTGGCCTGAGGGGGCTGAGTGAACCCCCATGGGTTCTATGGGTACCACTGTGCTGGCCACAGAGTCTGAGGCCACAGGTCCAGCTGCAATGCAGCCGACGTAGGCTGCACCCTAGGTGCCGGAGCCTGTCCCGCCGCTATGAAACCTTGCTTCGAACCTGAGCCAGAGTTGCTTCCCTGCGACCAAAACGAGGCTGATTGGTGCCTCTGTCCCGATCAGTACCGGTTGCCCTCCTGGAGCTGGATCTGGCTGACCTTGCCAAGTGCCCTGTTTAGGGCCTCAGTGACCAACGGCGCTTGGCAGATCCGCGATGGCCCTGGGCCAGCAATCTATGCCTCACGTTTAATGAGCGGTACCGGAACGTGGAGCAGGATCGGGAACTAGAGTGGGCTTGGCATCATGAAGATGTAGCTGCACGTGGAGACGCCACCCTGGGGGATTGGCACTGTCGGCCCCTCGACCTGTCCCTGGAGCAGCACTGGTGCCACGGAGATTCCGGGCACCGACGCCAAAACTCCTGCTGGGCGGCGCGTGCCTCCAAAGGTCTGCGCCCAGTCACCATGAGCTGTGCCTCGAGCCTCTCTGCCCTTATCCGAGGTCTGGAGACCGGAATGGGCTGCAAAACTTCTGCCTATCACGGTCAGAAGTGTGTTGGCTGCGAGAGGGCGACCGTTGGTGGAACATCCCCTGCGACAGAGAGCGGTGCCAGAAAGGTGGAGACTGTGGTGGTCCCAATGCCGGCTTACCCTGGCACCAGGAGGGACATAATGTCTTGCGCCGCTTTGAGGGCCTCTGGTGTGGATGGCACCCAGAGCTGACGAGGACCTCCACCGCTATCCGGTGGGGAGCAGGCTGGGCTACACCGCTCGACCTGAGCTGCGGCCCGGAATCCCCAAGGGTGTGAAGAGGCATCAGAGACAGGGCCTTGGTCCACCCCAGACTTGTCCTTTCCCTTGAGGGAAGCTGGAGACCTTCATTGCCCCATCTTCCTGGGCTTCTTGGCTGGAGCCACGGAAGGAGACCAGTGCCAGCTCGTAGACAGTATCAGCGGGACGCTGTGCACCAAGGTCACAGTGCTCGGCGCTGAATCGGAGCGCTGCTCCAGCATCGGGGAAAGGGCAGACTCCATCAGAAGCGCCTTCAAATGAATGTCATGCTCCTTCTTTGTCCTGGGCTTGAAGGACTTGCAGATTTTGCACTTATCACTAATGTGACCTTCACCCAAGCACCATAAACAACTATTATGTGGATTGCTAATGGGCATGGGCCTTTTACAGCGATCGCAAGGTTTAAAGCCTAGACCGCCCCTCCTAAAGCGAAGTCCCTTTAGGGACCTACTAAATCTCTAACTTAACAAATAGGTTGAACTAAACTAGAGGGAAACTATACACAGTAATATCTGCAAGAGGCAAATGAGTTCAAACAAAAGAAAAGCAACAGTTCTAGCTGAAGTAGCATGAGTTCCATGCACCGTCACTGGTGGCAAGAAGGAACAGAGTGGAGGGGACTGGTGGTGCCCTATACGCCGCAGCATACACACACCACTCCAGGGGGCGCCAGAGCCGGTCCCCTATGAATACTGCTGAGGGAAAAACTTCTGGCACCGGTGCATGTGGTGAGCACACACACCTAAATTGAATGGACATGAGCAATCACTCGAAGAAGAATAAGCCATATTTATTTCTCATTTTTGCACGATCATGACTTTTTGTGATTTTTTTTTTTGTTTGGTCATACATACTATTGATAGACATACATTTATACTATGTATACCTGTGTGTATATTTTCTACATACTGTATATACACACTCTGTCTCAGACATACACACCGGATTCTGTTTAATTAAATCAACAGAATAAAAGAAATAGAACTGAAAAATAGCTAAACAACTTCCTTGCTTACCGTTCTACGCACTCCTTTACTACAGCAAAATTGCCATCACCAATCACCTTTCCCACTCTGTATTTCTCAAGAATAGTGGATGACCCTGAGCACTTGTTTCCATTCACACCTGCACAAAAAGCAAGGACAATAATGTAAGTTGAGACATCAGCAATATGGCATATCCCCACAGAGTTCAAGAGTATAGTGTAGATATTCCTAGATACAAAATGGGAATGTAAAAATAAACTATGTTCAGTACAATTTGTCCCTTTGTTTTTATTTCAAAACAGCAACAAGAACTGGTAAAGCTTAATCAGAGCTGTGTGACCTTCTTGTCCTTGTTAACATATAGGGAAAACATTAATATATTATTGTCATTTCTATGTTGACAAATCCCAAAGGTGACAGAAATTCTAGTTAAATATTTAACTCCAGCTATGTCTTGACACATTTAGCTTTTTATTAAGAGGGCCTTCTTTTTAAAATTTATTTTTCATTGGCGTTTTCCTTGAGCACAAAAAAAGGAAAAAAAGGAACGGAATTACAAATTCACGAAAAACAGTAAAAATTTGGTAATGAAAAAAGACAGTTATTTATGCATTTAACTAATGAGGAAAATTTCAGATCACTAATGAAAGATATTTTATGTTGTTTGAGGCCCTTCTTATATCATAAAAAATGTAACAACTCGACTCCTTCTTGCTTAGCACAGACAGCAGCTATCATACAAGTCTCTTGGCTAAACCACCCATGCAAGACTTTCTCTAAGGTGCAACAACATATCCAACCAAATATTGAAGACTGCAATTACACTTTGCTTGTGTATTACAATTAAACCAAAAACATTCAAGAGACATTACATTTTACTGACAATATTGCCTATGGATCTCATCGTCTTTGATTTGTTTCATTAAAGAGCTAGTCAGGTCCCATTCGTCTAGAAAATTTGGCACTGAAATTCTATGTACCAAATTTCTTGTCATAGTGTCAAACTACAGATAAATTTTATAACTGCTAATGTTACTTTTTTTATAACATTGTATCTTTCCTTAAAACCAGTTAATTCTACAGTATAATAGTGTCATCCCATTTTAAAGACTTAATCGCTTTATTAAAGGGAGACAAGAACTAGTTTTAGATCATAGCAACACTTCTATCTACATTGGAAATAGACGTCAAGTAAAGTAGGGACAAAAAAGATCATGGCCTTAAAACCTGTTCTTTATTAAGTTTCTTGTCTTGCTCTCCCACTCTGACTACAATCACTCTTTCACAGACATTAAGAGACATCAATTTGCAAGTATTTTTGTAGGAACAAGATCACGAATGCTTTACTAGCCTCCCTATTCTCAACAGATTATTTTTTAATGAAAAACAAAAAGATTAACAAAGTTCCCACAATGGTCACAGAGATTTATCCATAATATGATCTCCTACAGAACTGAAAAGGTAAGTTTAGAATAGGGGGCCTGGCTGGTCTGATGGCTCCACTTGCAGCAAAATGGGCTACCATGAGGAAGACAACAGTTCCAGTCCAACTGCAAACACCTTACTTTTGCGGGGTCACCATAGACACAATGTTCATAATTTCCATGAATGGGCTGACTGTATCACTCTAAAGTGCCCATTGGGATTTGACTGAAGAGTAGGTTTTTTTTATTCATTTTGCATCCTACAGCTTTTTCCAGAATGACTTGGTGAAGCTGCAGCTGGGGATAATGTTGCTTGGGAGCAAGGAGATGATTATAAATATGGACTAGTATAATGCTATAAAGATGGACTGGGTGGAAAACCTTGAATGCTGGCAGGCTGAATACCTCAGGTCAGATCTTTAGAAACAAAGAAATCTTCTTGAAATGGGGGGCCCCAGTCCTGAAGTCAATACATAAAGAAAAATTTTAGACTAGAGCTGTCGCTTGTAACATATTAAATCAAGTTATAAAAGGGAGTGTATTAATGAAGACATTGCTATGGCATGCATGTTATGAGTTGTTGAGGTTAAGCACTCAGGATGAAACTCTCTCTGCATCCAGGCAGTCGTTAATGGGATTGTGTGGATTAAAGCATGTTCTGGACAGTGAAACCTTTTCCGAAATTCCTGTGTGTTGTTTGCATAACAACAGCATAAAAGAAGGGTAAATGGCCAGGCCATATTGCAAGACCATGTGACCTAACTTTGGGTTAGAGGGTTTCCCAGGTGTAAATTCCAGGGAGCTGAGTCAATGTTTTGAGCAGTGAGATTCCAGGGGAACTCAGAAGAGAAAGAGGCTCAAGACAGCTGCCTCTTTGTAAGAGGACAGTGGTGGCTTCAGCTCACGGTTCTGAAAGAGGGATTTGTGCATTTTGTGACATTTTGTTAAAGGAAACAAGGCGTAGGTATATTCTGTGATAATAGCCTGACATTGATTTGTCTTCCAATGGGAAACTGACCTGTAAGGTCTAAAAATCTGCTACCATTTGGTAAAAGGGCAATATTAAGATTAAAATCTGACAGATTGCTAGCAGTTGTCTAGTATCACCGAGCTAACAAAGTCACTTAAAGGTGAACAAAGATTTTGTGAAGGTTAGTAGCAAACAGTGGTTTAAGTGCTTACCTTCAGGACTTATGCAATGGAATAGTTCAGGCACACCATTCACATTGGAAGAAGAGCCACAGTGTGGAGGAATCTATGGAAATATGCATAAATCCATTATTTCTGATAATAACGTTACTAAAATGAATAATAAGAAAATGAGTTATCTTCCCCCAATTTAATTTTTATACATATTAATTTTTTATACTTATTCAACATTGTTACCTTGCACTAGGGCTGTCCATAATGACTGGGATCCCAGTCCTGAGGCCCTGTTTATGAGAGGAGTCACACCACTGATTTCACTGGGATTAATCACAGCAAATGTCATTCTCTCTACTTTCTTGAAGTGATACTTGGGCTTTATGGGGTCAGTGTGGGGAAGGGAAATTCCATCCTCCCCCAAACCAAGGGACCAGTAAGGACTACAAAAAAATTCACATCTAAGCCATATTCAAATCCTGTAGTAGCCAAGAGTCATTACTACACACAGTTCAGAGGCCAATACACGACGAGTCGGTGGTCTCAGTCCATAACCTAAAGTCCACCATCACAACTGGTACTGTTTGTAGTTTCATTAATAGAACTTCCCTCTCACCCTGATGCATAGTCTCTTTAGATTAGCACTGAGGTATGCTGGGAGGGTGGTGTAGGGAGGCTTGCATTACCACCACTAATTTCTCTGTCTAAAAGGAGAACTTCAATATCTAGGGCTAGCAGTCTGGCACCTCTACAAGCACTAAAATTAGCTTTAAATTTAGTGGGGGCAGGGCCGTCCCTACCCATACACAAAGTATGCAGCTGCGTAGGGCACCAGAAAATTTGGGGCACCAAATTTCCTAGTGCCCTGCACAGCTACGTGCTGCTCCAGCCCCTGCCCCGCCTCTTCCCACCCCTGCTCCGCCCCAGCCCCGCCCCTTCCCCAAAGCCCCCACCCCAGCCCTGCCCCCACTCCCCTGAGGACTGCAGCAGGGCTGGGCCTGCACTCACCAGCGGCGGGAAGTGCAGCAACCCGGCCTCAGCCATGCCGCCAGTGAGTGCAGGGGGGAGGTTCCTCCCTGCCCCCCAAGCCAGCCTGCCCTCCCCCCTGTGGGGCGGAGGGGGCTGCATAGGGCCCCAGAGTAGCTAGGGTCAGCCCGGAGTGGGGTTTTTTTTTTAATACTGTTACTGAAGTGAATGCTTAGAACTAAGAGAAACTGAAGTCAAATAACTGTTCTACATCACAGCTGTACAATGCAGATTTTAATAACTATTATATATAAAAATAAAGAGACAGAGTAAACAATTTTTTAAGGAGAAATTCAGACAAGATGACATTGCCCACAGTAATTCCATTTTACAGGTACTACATGTTAACAGGATCTTCACAACTAATTAAGAAAAGTTCTTTCCTCACATCACACAGTGATATATAAAGCAGTGCAGTGTTATTGTAAAAGGAGGCAGGAACTTGTGCAATGAATAAATTGAAAGCAATCAAACAGTGAAATGTTTTATGTACCAGTATGTTAAGTTTTACAAGGGTTCCCATTTCAGTTAAAAACATATGGGTGCACTATTAAATTAATAGGTATTTAAAAGCTCCTTCCTTCCTCCTTTACAAGACACTTCTACCTGTTCCCTGGGGCCCTTTTCCTTGCTTATTTCATGGGTTAATACAGTTTTCACCATTCACCACAAAAGGATTAAAATGCTTCTCTGCCTTAAGCTCAATATCTGCTGAAACAAGGCTTTGCACAACACCCGGGAATGCAAGTGCAGCATTTTCAATTTCAGCTAACATTGTCTCGCTACATTGCTGAATATTTTAAGTCATTAACACTACTGTCAGTGAAGTAACTGAACTGGCAGAAAGATTTTGTTAAAGTCTCACATAATGCTAATGAGTGCTCAAGTTTCCAGTGGCATCTAAAGTGACAAAACAGCTAAAGGTACAGTAACTAGATATGGTGCAACTTAATTTTATGAAGCCACAGAAACAATGCTGCTTGTCAGATAGTGTCAGCAGCAATTGGATAGTTACCACTTCCTATTGACAACTTTTAAACAGCAGAAGTTAATTCATAACGAAAGCAGCATTATCTAGTTGCTATAAAGGAGTTAGGAACTGAATCCAGGTGTCCTGTTTATGACATTAACAGAAGATTGTAATTCAGTCAGTGACTTAACGACTCAGTGCCACGGCTTCTCCAAACGTAAAACGGGGATAATAATGTTGATCCACCTTTGTACAACTGCAAAGTCTGAGTCATCAGCAAAAATATCTAATCTCTCTTTTGGTTATGATTTTAAAATGTCATTGAATAAGTGATAATAGGTGACGATAGTGCATCATCCAATCCACATTTCTAGACGGCTTCATCCTTGTGAGAGGCAGGATAGTGAAATGTACTAGAATCTTACTCTCTAGTGAGCTGGGATAGAAAGATGCAGGCAAGAATAGCGGAAAGGCAAGAGGAAGGATGGTGGTGTGTGTGATTAAGGCACTAGACTAGGACTCAGGGTTTTAGCCCCCGCTCTGCCACACTTAATGCATGACTTTGGGCAAGTCATAACCTCTTTAGGCCTAATCCAACACCCACTGAAATCAACGGGAGTTAATGGGCTGTGGATCAGATCCTCTGTGCCTTAATTCCTCAGCAGTAAAATTGGGGTAATAATCCTTGCAGCTTTCTGGTGAGGTAGGGAAATAATTCCTCAAGGCCTGTGATGGGGTCAGACACTAAATTGATGAGGAAGGGAAGGGACATATAAGCACTACACTATGTCCTGAGAATCCCCCTGTGGGCTTTGTATAGGCCAGTAGACCTACAGATAGGAGTGTTTGTAATGCTCCCACAGTGCTTTATGCTCCTCCAAGCTGCAGGAGCAGATGATGAGCTGTATCTCTTCAAATAACTGTACAAAAACTCTGGATTAATATACACAGGATTCCCCTCCACCTCCGTTCTCCAGCCTGATAAATATTCATATTTATCAAAAGTTAGGGGACAGATCATAATCTGGTATAAACTAACAAAGCTGCATGAAAGTCAATGGAGCTACGACAACTGACACCAACTGAGGGTCTCTCTCAAAATGCTTATCCAAGCTCTCTGTATTTATGGTAGGCTTCATGATGCACATGGCCCTCCCTCCCCATAAAATCTTCCTGCCTCAATCATAGGCACTGACTCTGTGGGTGCTCTGGGGCTGGAGCACCATGGAAAAAAAAAATAGTGGATGCTCAGCGCCCATCAGCAGCCCCGTGGATCAGTTCCTTCCCCTCCCTCCCAGTGCCTCCCACCCGCTGTGATCAGCTGTTCAGCGGTGTGCAGAAGGCACTGGGGGTATGGGAAGGAGCAGGGGGGAGCAGTAAGAGGCAGGGGAGGGGCAGAACAGGGTGGGAAAGAGGTGGGACGGGGGCAGGAAGAGGATGGACAGGGGTGGAGGCTTCGGGGAAAGGATGGAGTGGGGGCAGGGCATGGGGCAGAGCAGGGGTTGGGCCTGGGTCTCCTGCCTGCTCTCCCTTATGGGATCTTTCAGTGACACATCCCCTCCTTTATCCCATAGTATGCCATAGTCTATGTGCATATACTTACAAAGCAGAACAACTACATTTATGTTTTAGGATGACCAGCATTTGCAATATCCCTTGAATTTCTTTTTATCCAACAAAATGATAGAACAGCGGGCAGTCTTGTTAAAGAGATTATTTTCTAAAAACTGCCAGAGATTAGAAAGTTATTTTTCTATTCTGTGAAGAGCTAAGGGACAATTCCAGCAGCCAGCTACCCCAATTAAGTTGGCAGGCACAGCTCCATAAGCACTCCTTGGACCACAATGCACATGGAGATTTTGGAGGTGAAATGGGGGAAGAGTCAGGGCACTGGACTTGCAAACAGACTCACCAGTCTACCAGCCATTCCCTATGTAATAAAGGAAAAAACAGGCACAGAAACTCAGAGACTATATTAGTTAATACAGTGAATATACTATCATTTTGCAGCCTGGAAATGGGAAGAAATCCTCATCTACTCCCAGCCCACACAAACTCCCCACTTCCTGTTCCTTACACAGCACAATCACATGGCCCATGCTCTGAGGAGAAGGATTTGGCCCAGAGGACTCTATTCTGCTCTCTAATTTCCGCAACAACTGTCAAAGAATTCATACTGAAAGGCAGAATTTGGCCCTACTTTCTAGGGTGACCATGCAGTAGTTTAATCTTGTGCTGCTAACTAAAAGAGTAGAAATATCTTGTCTCTTAAAAATTGTGAATACATCCATCACTTTAGAATCTAGGCTCCATTCCTGTATCTAGCTATGACTTCTGCTATTAGTTAAAAGTACCGTACATTAGTGTGATGCTGTATGACTGAGATATGACCATTTATATAATTGATATTGCCATTTAAACAATTGCAACACATCTTGTGCAAACTATATCCTGTAAGGTGTCAATGGCAAAGTTATGATATGCTAAATATGATTATCCTGTTTATATGCATGAATCATTTTTCTATCTGAAGTTATAAATATTGGCTATGCGCTGGCTAGGGTTGCCAACTTTCTACTCGCGCAAAACCGAACACCCTTGCCCCACACCCTTCCCCGCCCCTCCTCCAAGGCCCCACCCATGTCCTGCCCCTTCTCACTCCATTCCCCCCCTCTGTCGCTTGCTCTCCCCACCTTCACTCACTCACTCATTTTCACCAGGCTGGCTCAGGGGAGGGGGTGAGGACTCCAAGGTGGGGCCAGAAATGAGGAGTTCAGAGTGGGGGAGGGAGCTCCAGGCTGAGGCAGTGGGTTGGCATGCGAGAGGGGGTGAGGACTCCGGCTGGGGGTAAGGGCTCTGGCATGGGGCCAGGGATGAAGGGGTTGGGGTGCAGGAGGAGCTCCGGGCTGGGGGGTGGAGCCAAGGGGTTCGGACTATGGGAGGGGACTCTGGGCTGAGGCAGGGGGTTGGGGTGTGGGAGGAGGTATGGGATCTGGGCTGAGGGTGTGGGTTCGGGGTAGGGCCAGAAATAACAGGTTCAGTGTGCAGGAGGGGGCTCCGGGCTGGGGTAAGGGGTTGGGGGAGGAGTGAGGGCTGCAGATGGGGGTGCGGGCTCT